CCATAAGTCTTGGCCCTGATCTCATTTTGCTTCACAATCTGATCAATTGCATGAAGTCGGTTGACATCCAGACTTTCCAATTGCTGCAACATCAATTGTTGATATTCCTCAGTAAATTTATCATTGGTAAAACTTGTGTGTCCGGATAAGACCTGCACTTCGGCTGGCAACACAGCATCTTGTCCAAAAGTGAGTTGATATGGCGAAAACCCTGTGGCAGAACTTCTGTTATTCCTATGTGCCCATAAGGCTTGAGATAACAACAAATTCCATTTCCTTGGGTTCCCTTCAATCGTTTTCTTGATGATCCCAATGATAATCTTGTTAGCTGCTTCTGCCTGTCCATTAGCTTAGGGATAAAAAGGCGAAGAATGATTCAGACGAATGCCAAACTCTGCCAAGAAGCTTAAAAACTTATCCCCAGTAAAGACCAGACTTTGGTCGGTTGTTACTGAATAAGGTATACCATATCTATATATGATCTGATTCAGCACAAAATCGATCACCTACTTCTGATCCACGTTTTTTCAAAGCAACCGCCTCCATCCATTTAGTGAAATAATCTGTTGCAAATGATTCTAGGATGAGGGAGGATGAATTTTACCAATGATATCCATAGCCCAAGATTTGAAAGGTCATGGTTTCACCATCGCTTGCAATTCTGTTACTGGTATATGAATTAACTGTCCGTGCCTTTGACATTGTTGGTAGCCCTTGGCAAATTGTATGCAGTCTTAAAAAATCTTTGGCCAAAAGAAACCTAAACGATGAATAGCCCATCTCATGTTCAGACCTGCTCGATGAGCTCCACATATTCCACTGTGTACTTCTGTCTTCACCTTCAAGGCCTGCTCGGGACCCAAACATTTCAAGAGCAATCCTTCGAATGTCCGTTTATATAACACTCCTTCTACCAATTGAAATCGTAATGCTTTCAATCGAATTTCAATTTGTTGATGTATTTTTTCAACAAACAAAAAGTAAAATTCAAAGATATGGAAAATATCCTTAAATTTGATTAATTAGCGTTTGAGATTAGAAATCTCTAAACACTGCACGGTACATAAGAAAATTAACTGGAAATAAAAAATGCTGAAAATTTAAAGTGGTGATCCCCGAATCTGACTTTGTTTTGTTAAAGGTGATTGAAGATCCCTTATCCAGAAAAATCCAAATCCTTAAATATTCCCTGAGAAACGGTACTGGAAACCGTCGCCCGAACAGTTACAACGCCTCTTTTTCAACCGTCTGCTAACCCTTCTCCTGCTGACACGTGCCCTCAACCGACCAAAGTACCATTCTCGCTCACTCGCAATAGTATCCGACTCTCTAGACTGACCGCAAACCTTCCGCCCTTTTGACCCGACCGCAAATCTTCCGCCTTGTTGGTCCAACTGCAAACCTTCCGCCTTGTTGGTCCGACTGCAAACCTTCCGCCTTGTTGGTCCGACTACAAACCTCCCGACTTGCAGACCACCTGACTTGTTTGGTCCAACCGCATACCTCCCGACTTACAGACCATCCGACTTGTTGGTCCAGCCGCATACCTCCCGACTTACAGACCATCCGACTTGTTGGTCTAGCCGCATACCTCCCGACTGACAGACCATCCGACTTGTTTGGTCCAGCCGCAAACCTCCCGATTGACAGACCATCCGACCTGCGGACCTTCCGACCTATGGACCATCTGACCTGCGGACCTTCCGACCTGCGGACTTTCTGTTTTGCGGACTTTCCGACCTGCGGACTTTCCGACCTACGAACCTTCAGACCTGCGGACCTTCCATTTTGCGGACTTTCTGACCTGCGGACTTTCCGACCTACGAACCTTCCGTCTTGCGGACTTTCCGACCTACGGACCTTAGAAACATGTCTATTTCACCCGATTTTCTCACACTATCCCTCGATCAATCCAACCAACCCAATCATTGGCCCATATTCTCCTTGTAACTTTGGGCTTTTTAACCTAATCATAATTTTCATACGTAACAGTCATACTAGAAAATTTCTTAACCTAGTTACATGCTCCACCACAAACCAAACAATTTATAGCATAGACCTATTCATCCTCTTAAAATTTCCTTTTACCTTTATAGGACAAGGATTTATTTTCAATATTGTTGCTAGTTTGATTATTTCTGTAGGTGTTCTACCCCTTGAGTACTTTAAGCTTCCAAATGAGAGGATTGACTTTCCATTTAGAAATAAATTCAAATTAGTATGTTCAATAGATGCTTATAGTGATGCCTACTTAAAAATAAATTTCAAAATATTCTGAGAAAATTTTGTATATATTAAAGCAGTAGTTTCCAATCACTAAGAGGCATAGCACCAACGAAAAACAACTAATCACACAACATAGAAATGTCACTCAACACACAATTCATATAGATAGAAAACAGAAGTACATGAACGGATATGACCTAATCCAACAAAACAGATCAAATACAAAGATTCATATAGCAACACAAAACCACCTAAAGTACAGTAAACACTTATCTACTAAACAAACCGCAAAGATTACTAACAATTCATATAGTTCCAAGAAAATATGCCCAAGAAAATAAGCTTCAATAAGCATATTACTCTATGAAAAATTGGCATATACTCTTATAACATATTATCATTAAGATTTTCAAGATCACACACCCAAAGCAAGAATTAACCAATCAAGTTAACCAATTAGTAAATCTGGAATCAGCAGACCAACTAATACAAATGAGATTTGTTGGGTAAAATAATATGGGATTCAGCCTTTTCCAAGATCGATTTATTACCATCGATCGATCGATACCCGAAGATTATGCCTATTTAATTTATTATTGCTTTGACAGATTCTAACTCTGATACCACTGTTATGTTGTGTTTTTATATATTCTAACAACAACAAAAAACACTCAATAAGAATGTGTTCCAAGAATATAAAATCAACTTCTTGTAAATTGGAAATAGAACACAAATTAACTAAACACGACAAAATCCAATTGAATGAAGAAACAATAATACTCCTTGTTCGTCACTCCCAAAATCAAGCAGCAGAGGTCTCCTAAAATCGGCGAACAACAGTAGCTCGGACAACCTCCGGGCAACGACTCCGGGCGATTTCTTCCCGGAAACTTCCAATCAACTCTCCAATGACAGATTGAGAAACTTTTGGTTTGGTTCAGTCTACAACCCTACTCGGCGGTGAATGGCATACAATAGCGACAACCAACCGCTTCCAAACAAACCCCAAGCCGACGGATTGAATAACCGAACATTACCTCTACACTCCCGATCAAACCCCCTAACATTCAGCGCAGAAGGAAACGTCAACGGAGATATAGACGAAAAGAAATGGTTGAAACCAATACCAAGAAGAGAAACCCCAAAAACTTCACAAAGAATCACACGCAAAGAAGAAGAGAGAAATCGCACTCCAGCCACATGAATCGATTTGAGGAAGAAGAGTTTTATACGGAGCGGGTTGCAAGTTTACAAGTTGGATCCGTGTAAAGGGTTTGAGTTGCGGGTTGGCTTGGGTCGCGGAGCTAGGATGGAAATAGGCCAGACTTTGGCTAAACATACCAGACCTATTTTGAAAAATTAAGGCCTGAGTTTAGCCTATTAACTTGTAAGAAAAAAATTATACAACCTAAGCTTAGTCTATTATTAAGTTTGTGCAGCCTAAAAGCCTATTTAAAAACCTATATAATAGTAAGTTTTTTTTTTTTAAAAAAATTTAATATTAGTAAAAAAATATAAATGCAATTATTATTTTATGTATATATATAATTATAGCTACAATTAATCAATTTTATATTTGGTTATTATCATTAAATTATTTTTTAAATATATAAATATATTAAAATTATATATATAAATAGGTCGGTCTGATAGGCATGAAAAGCATTTTGTAAAGCCTAAACCTATTCTAATGAATTAAATATATTTTAAAATAAACATGTATCGAATTATTCGAATAAATAAGTCAGACTGAGTCAGGCTTTATGCAAGTCAAGCTGTAGGCCCCTGATAGGCCGTCTGACCTATTTCACTAATTCAAGATGAAAAATCAAGTGACAACAAAAAAAAAAAAAAGTTGTAATCGAGCATATCTTTAAAACCTTAATGATAGTAAAAAATGAAAAAAATATTCTACAGTAACATATTATCGAGTATCTTTGAAAGAAAATACTATATACCTTCTATTAATATTCGATTTTACTTTATCTGGCTATGAAATGATCGAACATACTGCGATCAGGGTAGATAAGAGAAAAATATTCAATCTGTGATTGTAGATTCTACTTTCTTCAGCACTTCCCAATGAATGAAAATAAAAAATAACCGATCATAATTTATAATGATTTTAAATAAAGCGAAACGAAAATTTGGAGAAAAAAAAAAAAATTCCCAAGATTTGGAAAGAAATTCGTTTAGAAAAGAAAAATCTGATTAACCATTGTGTTATTATGTAATGCTGGTGATGGGTGAAGTGTGCGTGTGGTGGGTGGGTATGGTAGGTGTGGAATAAATTATTATGATAAGTTGTTAGTTAATTTTTAATAATTATGTACAATTAATTTAAATTAAGCAAACATTAAGATTATTCAACTTTTGTTAATTTTTACTTCCTCCGTCGTACTATATAATATGGGTGTACTATGGTAGATACAATAATTTAGGTAAAGTATAATTAGTAAATAATTAAGAAGTGTATTAATAAAAATAATTATTATTTAGTAAAAATAATTATAGATTAAGATTAAGATAAGAAAATAGTATATTAAAATTAAGAAAATTATAAAATTTAAAATTTAAAATGCGATTAAAGTACATAATTATATTTTCAAAATAAAAAGGATAAATTATGTGGACGGATAAAAATAAAAAATAGGGAGAAATTATAGAGAGAGATGGAGTATTTTTTATAATTGGATACGAAAAAATATATATAAATGTAAATATAAATAAAGCCTAAAACAGGCCTTTTACTCCATTTGAATATTCAAAGAAGAGAATCATGACAGCGATTGCCCACTCACTCCTACCACGCCTAGTTTAAACACAAATTTCATTTGACCGACGCCGAATCGGAATCGGAATTGGAATTGGATTCTGCGTCTCTCTCTCTCGTATTCGTATATTCTGATCTGCCATTTCTTCACAAATGGAAAGACCTTCAATTTCTCCGATGGCGGGAGTTTCTTCCTTCACCGACGCCGGATCTGCCAATAACCGTGAAGAAGCTCTGGTGGTGCCCTGTGACTATTTCCATGGTGTAATTGATTACATAAACCAGATGGTTATGGAAGAAGAAGAAGAAGACGATCACCAATTGGAGGCCAGCTTCTGTCTGCTCCACGACACCGAGAACCACCTCCGCGACCTCCTCTCCTCCGATCCTTCGCCTTCCTCTTCAGCTGCTGCTGCAAATGATAATCAGAAGAATCATCGCAGCGGAGGAGAGGACGATGATGGCGTAGCAGATACAAGGAAAGGTAAGCTATCAGCAACTTATTATTATTACGCAGACGAAGAACACGACGAAATGGAGAAGTTCGACAAGTTGCTGCTCTGCCGGAGAATGAATCCAGGCTTCTACGACGAAGTTCCGGTCACCGGAGATGAAATCAAAGTCATAGACGGCCAGCATAAAAGCATGAGGCAGTATTGGAAAACTACAGTGCCCAAACGGGGGAGGCCTAAAGGGAGCCGCAGCCGAAAGAATAATAACACCAACACCGATAATAATAATAATGCCGAGGCCGTCAAGGAAGTAGCCGTCGATCTCAGGAGCCTCCTTAGCCGCGCCGCGCAAGCCGTGTCCGAATCCAACACCGCCGTAGCCGGACCACTGCTGAGCCAAATCAGGCACCACTCGTCGCCCTACGGCGATCAGACCGAGCGGCTGGCGCATTGCTTCGCGAACGCCCTCGACGCAAGGCTGGCGGGCACTGGCTCCGCAATGTTTGCTGCATATGCTTGCCAGAGAATAACAACCGCCGAGCTCATGAGATCTTACAAAACGTATGTCCAAGCATCTCCGTTCCAGAGGATGTCCAATGTGTTTGCCAATAAGTCGATCGGGAGGTATGCGAACAAGGCGACGAGGATCCACATAATCGATTTTGGGATATCTTACGGCTTACAATGGCCCTGCATAATACAGGGCTTCTCGTTGCGGCCGGGTGGCTCGCCCTTGGTCAGAATAACCGGGATCGACTTTCCTCAGCCAGGTTTCAAGCCAGCTGAGAGAGTCGAGCAGGCGGGACGGAGACTAATGAGCTACGCCAGGAGGTTCAACGTCCCGTTGGAGTACACCGCAATCGCCAAAAGATGGGAAGACATAACCGTGGAAGAGTTAAGGATCAGAAGAGGCGAAACGGTCGTCGTCAACTGTATGTACAGGCTAAGACACGCGTACGACGAGTCAGCGGGGGTGAACACCCCCGCGAGGGACGAGGTTCTTAAACTGATCAAGAGGATAAACCCGGGGCTGTTTGTGCACGGAGTGGTGAACGGGTCGTACAATGCAGCCTTCTTCGTCACCAGATTCCGCGAAGCTCTGCATAATTACACGTCGTTCTTCGACATGCTGGAGAGCACGTTGCCGTCGGAGGATCAGGAAAGGGTGATGTTTGAGAGGGAGGTGCTAGGCGGGGAAGTGATGAATGTGGTAGCGTGCGAAGGAGCGGCGAGAATCGAGAGGCCGGAAACGTACAAGCAGTGGCAGGCACGGAACCGACGGGCCGGGTTCCAGCAGGTGGCGTTGGATCGGGAGATACTGAAGGAAGTGGCGGGGAAAGTTAGAAGGGAGTACCACAGCAACTTCTTACTGGATGAGGACAGCGGATGGATGCTGCAGGGATGGAAAGGCAGAGTTATGTATGCTCTATCTTGTTGGAGGCCCGGGCCGACCCGACCCACACAAGAATGAATGATCAACATAACATAGCATATATTCCTCCTTTCTCAGCTATAACATATTCTGTTCTACAGCCATCGGCAGCAACGGATTGATTCAGCACACCTAATTAAAAGGGTACTGAGATCTTTTAACCTAAAACCAATCGTTGATATGGAGTGAATCGTCTCGAAAATTCAAACAGGATTAATACTTAGTACGGATACAATGACTTTGATATATGTTAAGAAAGGATCCGAACTTTCAACCTAAAACCAATTAGTGATAGGTGGAGTGGCTTTTCACCCTTGTAAGCCAAGGGAGTTCCCACATTTTTTCAATGTGGTACATATTCAACAACAACTCTTTCAAAAAGTTGAGATAGCTCAATTTCATCATCTCTAAGTAAGTTAGTTGCTCTGCTTCTCTCAACATGAAAAATCCTCCAGTCAGATAGATACTGGTGCTTCCTCCTCCCTCCCCTTCCCGTCCTTCTCGACATCGACAGAAGCCATAGCCCCAGACTTTTGAGGTAATTCATATTTGTCCAAATTGATATATGACTGGGATGGGAGGAAGGAATCTACTAGCTTCTTCATCCCTTTGCTCAACATACTTTGAACCAGCCTTGCATTTGATTTGTGCCATCACTTCGTCTGTTGGAGCTATTAACAGTAACAGGAGAAAATTCGGAACCTTGTCTGCAAGAAAGAATGGAGTAAAAGCCCAACTGATGGCCCTGTTCCACTATGATCAACTGTCAGGATCAATGCAACTGCTCTGAGAGGTTCACAAAATTGCCATCCTCCTCCCATCACCATGATTCACTGGATCACAAGGTGAAGGTGGGAATTTCTAGCCAATAGCCCAAAGAGCAAGTGGATCATGGAACATGCTCGGATGCTTGGCTTCTACTCCATGTTCAGTATCTCCCATCCTACTGCTGACATTTAGAGAGGAAGCAGTATTATCAAGGCCCCACTGGGTGGGTTTAATGGAAGGAAAGCAATATCCCCGAAATCAGTCTCTCTATTTGATCAGATGTGGGTGAATAAAAGTTCTCCTCAAATTTCTAACCATTTGCAACTTTAGGTATATCACTGGACTGAGGGAGGATCCATAACAATAGGTGATGATTTTAGATCTTTTTTCTACTATGGGTTTCGGTTTTTCAGATGTATCAGAACCTAGTTTCGACTTATTTCAGACATGCCATCTCAAATCAAACACAAGATAGAGCATAGCTTCAATGAGTCACCATTATATAGCTCAATTTACCAAGCTAAGAATAAGAAATTTTCATCTAACCAAAACTCCAACAATATCAATGATTACCTACCTTATCATATCATTGGAGTTTACGATTCACAATCGAATTGAACACTTACCTTCTGCTAACACCTTTTCTAACCCTAAAATCATTAAACAAAAACAGTGTAAGAGGGAAACTCCTCCCAGGTCAGCCTCATCCATTTCATTCAGAGTTGTGTAGAACAATTTAATCATTATCACTCTCGTACGTTTATGTTACCAAAAACTCTAATTTTAAAATAAATCACGTTCAAAACTTATTTTCTATCTAATGAATTAATCAAAATCCTATTCTTAGTTCAAAACACCAATTTATATCTCATCAGACAGTTATTTTCCATGTAACTTTTTATATTTTCCAAACTAATACAAACTCCAAATGACGTCTGCAGAATTAAGCAAACAATCTTCACCCAGCATAAAACACGTGACAAAATCGCACTAACATCCCCCGTCAGAGTCGAATATTGAAAGGGAAACTAAACATATCCAGATGAACTGACGAGGCACAAAATTAAGAAAAACTAACCACTGCAGCATCAACAATCGTATACGTACTTCACTAAAATTTGTAAATGATATACATGTAAACAAACTGTTAGTATTGCCCCAAATTTTGTGCGACAACACAAACATTTCGATTGCTTCGTCAATGAGCGTACCTTCTCTGACAGCCAAGAGACAGAGATTTGCAGTGCAAAAGATTTTGAACGAATTTAACCTAGGATGGTTAAGACTTTGGGACATCTCCAAATACTAGATTTTTTTTTTTTTTTTTTTTTTTTCAATTTTTTTTCTAAATTTTAATTATCCCCAACAGATTCTATTTTTCCTTCTAAAAGAATATTCAATATATATTCCTTATTTTACATAATTATATAACTTTGATTCAACTTTTATTATTTACATATTAATCCTAATAATATTTTTTATTTAATATTTTAATATTAACATATATACATTGTAATATAAATAAGGGTAAACTATTTTTTTAGTTCGTAACGGACCCTTTATCATTTTAGTCCCGTAAGTGGAGTCTGTCGTAAAGTAGTTTCATAAGTAAAAAATTTTTGTTATTTTAGTCCTCCGATGCCGGAGACGCCCGCGTGGCTCGCCGGAAGCCACGTGTCCATCAGGTGTCCCGCAAGATCAGCGAGGCGGACACGTGGATTTTATGTTATCTTTTTATTTTATTTATTTATTTATTTTTCAATTGGATTAAATAAAAAAAATTAAAAAGATAAATAAAATTATAAATAAATTTTAAAAAAAATGAAAAAAATAAATAAAATCCATGTGTCCGCCAAGTGTCGCTGACTTGGCGGACACATAGCCTCCGGCGAGCCACGCGGGCGTCTCCGGCGCCGAATGACTAAAATAGCAAAATATTTTCACTTATGAGACTAGTTTGCGACATACTCCACTTAAGAGAGTAAAATGATAAAAAAATCCAGTTACCAAGACTAAAAAAACAGTTTAACTTATAAATATTTATATCTAATTTATAATTTATAAAATAATACAAAATAAAAAAAAAATAAAAATTGGCAGACCAAAAAATAATAAAAAAAATTTATCCTCTATTTTAGAGAATGTTGCAATGTTTCTCCATAGATTCTTTAAAAAAATGAGAAAGAAATAAATCCGATTTAAAGGATTTTGCTCCAATAATAGAGTATTTCTCAAAATTGTGAGTCGATTGGAATTGGAGTTGCCATCGGTGTTTTTCGACCCTGCACTTGGAATATATATTCCAGTGTCCAAATTGTGCCACGTGGCACAATCTCAAAATTTTCAAATTTTTTTTTTTCGAAAATTTGCCTTCCTTTTCAAGTAGTCAAAAAAACCCTAATCTGTCTGCATTTATGCTTTCGCCATTGCCAGTCATCATTTCCTCTCATCTCCGGCAAACATCATTTAAGAGCGTGATCTCTTCGAACATTGCAATAATCTGATATTTATGTCATGTATTTGGGCAGTTAAACCAAAAACAACTTAATCCTTTTTTTCTTTTGAGTTTACAGACAAAAAATCATTAAATATATACATATATATATATATATAAACTAATCTTCCTCCAGCTCCAACAAACCCAATCTGTCTACTTTTCATTCTACTTTCATAGCCACCGTCGTCACCATTTTCCCCTTCATTCCGAAAATCATCCAATGCTAATTTGGATTTAAATTTTACCAACACAGCAACGCTAGCAATGGTGGAAAAATTTAAAATATATTCTTACTCCAACAAGTAAATGGAATTGTCGCACCTACTCTGTGTCAGAATCCAACGAGTTCATCGGAGATATGAGGAAGAGCAAAAGTCAGCTCCGGTCACAGAATATCACGCCTTGAAATCTCGTCTATACAATTAAATTATATTTAGTAGTTTACCGTGTATATATATTTGTTCTTATTTTCTCTAGTAATTAGGTTTATAAGACTTATAATCAGTCTTTGTAAATGGGTTAGTGATTTGGTATGTGAAGGTTTCAAATATAGTATTATATTTCACTTAAAATCTGATTTTTTTCATTGTTGGTTCTTTCACAAAATAGCTTGCGGAAGTTCCAAAATTAGCCGCACTCTGTAAGTTTTTTTTTCTTTAATACTTCTCTCTTTCAGAAAAGATGTCTTATTGGAAGTTGATACGATATTTAATTGAAAGTGAGTATAAAGTAGAAGGTAAAAGACTAAAATACTTTGCGTTTTGAATGATTTTAAAAAGTAGATTTGAATAATAATTAATGATAGTTTGGAAAAGTATAAATAATTTTGTTATAAAGTGGGGACCATCATTACTGAATAAGAAAACAATACAATTATTTTGGGACGGACAAAAATGGAAAAACAACACAATTCTATTGGGATGGAGGGAATATTTGTTTTATCCGTTACTTTGCTGAAGTGAAGAGGAAATAATGACCAATAATGCCAACAATAGAAGAAGTATAGACAAATTGGATTTATTTTTTTGCTACCGGAAGAAGACCCAGTAAAAGAAGACATAATTTTAAAAATTAATATAAGAAAATTGACTCTTTTCAGATTGTGGCATGTGGTACAATCTAGGCACCCCGAACATATGTTCTGAGTGTATGGTCGAAACAGCCCCTACCAACCTAGGCATCAGAGCATGTTGGCGTAGGCAAGATTTTACGCCTTCCATAGTGCACAATAGATTTAGCCAAATTTATGGAAAAGAAACACGCTTTTAATATTTTGTAAAAATAATAATTAGAATTGTATTGACAAGTAAAAGTCTAAACTAAATACAAATAACAGGTGTGTGTATCTAACAAAATATTTTTTGAAATGAGTTAACCATATTTGTTGTTAACTCTAATGAAGTGTTGATCTCCGTCTATTATACTCAAATATAGTTGAACGTAAATTGATTAAATATGCATATACTGGATGTTTTTCTAAGCCGCATAAAACCAAGGCTAAATTGGCTATATATTGTGGTACTGTAGTATCTTGGAGATTTACCAAAAAAATATTAATTGCTCAATCTTCAAATCTTGCGGAAATAATAGCTATTAACGGGGCTAGTTGAGAATGTGTTAGCTGAGATAATTGATTCATCATATTTTCAAGGATTATAACTTGAGATCTTAAAATAAATTTTTCTACTATTTTATATGAAGATAATCAAGCTTATATAGCTCAACTGAAAAAATGTAGATTAAAAGAGATATGATGAAACATATTTCATTGAATTTTTCTTAATCACGATCTTCAGAAAAACAGTGAAATAGATGTCTACCGGATTCGATAAGACAATAATTTAGCAAATTTATTAAGCAAGGCTTTACGAAATGCAACATTTGAAAAAATGGTGAAGAATATCGGGGTGCGTCGGCTACAAGATTTCAAGTAAAATCCACATTAGGGGGAGCACTTTTGAAAATATGAATGACTTACTCTTTTTTTTTTATTATTAGAATTTTTGTCTCATTGAATAAAATTTTAATGATTCGTATTTATTACAGTTAATGACACCTAAAACAAAGTATTATAACCCATTAAATTGTAAGTGCCATTTATATGATTTTTCTTACATACATTGTGACACTTATCATTATAGGTAACATAACCCGTGTGTGTTCGTTTATTTTTTCCAGGTTAAAGACTAATAACATTAATCAATGTAAGGAATTCGAGAAAGAAAATAAATGAGATAGCACAGAAATTTGATACCAAATCTAGTTGACCTTAAGAATTTAATCTTGGACCCAAAATCTTAAGTATGGAAAAGGAACAAATCGATAAGCTTAATTCTTCTGCAAGAATTTAGAAGCTAGGAACCAATGGATAATTTCAAAGACCCAATTTGAAAACAATGCAAGGAATCATTCACTCACACTTTGAAAGTAAAAATAATGAAAAATACAAGTTTTCAAAGGAAAACAAATATATTATAACAAAATATGAAAGTAGATACAAGAGCCTATGTATAAGCCAAAGGGAAGAGAGACAAAACACTTACTACATTAAATTGGCAAAACATTCTCATAGAAAACATATTTCAATATACATAATTGATACATGTTCCCAAAAGCGTTTTATCAATATCATAATAATGACAACATATTTCCAAAATAATATTTTAAGATTGTAATTAATAGTAGTACATTACTATGTACTTAATACTCACTTGGGAGTTCAATACGGTAAGCGTTGTCGTTCATTATCTCCAAAACATGGAAGACGCCATCACCATGTGGTGTTAACTTGGACTTTCTTATCTCGAGAAAATGTTCCTTACACAAATGCAACCAAAATCAATCATCCAGATGGAGTTGAACTTTCTTACGACCTTTGTTTGCTTGTTTTATGTATTGCTCAGCCGTTTTTTGGAGTCTTGTGCGGACTTCATTATGTAATTTTTGTACGAATTTTGCTTTCTTCCTACCATCAATATTGATTTGCTCATTGTGAGGCAATGACATAAGATCAAGAGGTGTCAGTGGGTTAAAGCAATACACAATATCAAACGGTGAACAATTTGTAGCCCTATGAATGGTACGATTGTAAGCAAACTCAGCATGTGGTAAGCATTATTCCAAAGATTTCAAGTGCTTTTTGAACTAACGTACTCAATAAACTACCTACAGTTCTATTCACGGATTCAGTTTGGTCATCTGTTTTTGGGCGATGTGAAGTTGAAAATAGCAATTTTGTCACCAATTCGAAAAAAAAAAACAATGATTTTACGAATTCCATGCAACCTAAGGACTTATTTGAAAAACAAAATTTCTACATGTGAAGCATCAGTGGTTTTTAGTGCATAGTATAAAATGAGCCATCTTTGAAAATAGATCGACAACCACAAAAATCGAGTCTTTTCCACTTCCACTTCTAGGCAATCCTAAGATGAAATTCATAGAAATATCTACTTAAAGGGATTCAGGAATTATGAAGTGTGTATACAAACGATGAGGTTGAAAAGTTGACTTGGAAGTTAAACAAATGGTGCATTTTCAAATATTTTTCTCTTATAATGCATGACTCACACAATCAATTATTCGATTTGTCAATTAATGGTCAAGTCTAGTTGAATATATGGTCTTGTATAGTCAATCAATCGACTTGCCAACTACGGTCAAATGTAGCCAAATCTACAGTTCACATATCTATTACATCGACTTGTCAAGCAAAACATAGTCTAGCCGAACTCACGACACATTTATTCAATCAATTGAGATTTGTCAATTGATAATGCTTGATTTTAGCATATTGTATAATTCATATTTATTTAATTATTTATATATTTATGTCAAGCTTTGGTCTTATTTATATTAATTTATTCCAATAATTGTATTTATCGGATTTTACTTGTAAAATATTAATTTATTGATTTTTAGTTTTATTTTATAATTATTTTGAAGATAAATTAATTAAATTATGTGTTTCTTGAATTATGTATTTGATCATTATTTTAGCATCCAAGTATGCGAGAGTCTTGTTGATATGCTTAGTTGTGAGCTGAATTTAACTCCGATTAAAGAAATATATCAAAATGGTAGAATTATTAGCGAAACAGTTTAAATAATAATTCATTAGATATAAACGCTTGTCTATCAGGTCGCAAAAATGTCCAGTGATAGTGGCTTTTCTTTTAAAGATTGTTCTTAACGAGGTATCACTGAAGCCTCGTTGTAAATCAACTAAGGTCAAATATCAATCGAGTCAAAAATTGAGTTTAAGGGAACAAGTGTGATCACACTCATTCCTCTGAATTTCCTCCAAATCATACATATATTATTCATTAACACACTATTGCTATCCGGATCATTTCCTCCAAGACGATCTAGCCATTTAGGAATGCACTGTTCAGACACAAAGACCTCATTCCATTCTCCCTGCTACACATATATTTTTATCAATTTTTAGTTAGATTGAATTATGCTCGTTTATCTTTTCATTTTATTCGATTGCATTAACTAATTGCACATTTTCTAATTAAATATAGGATATTAACATATTCTCTGAGTTCGACATGTATACTCGCCAGTTAAAGTTTTTTTTAATTATTTTTTGACAAAATTTTTGGAGTTATTACATGAATACACACAATATTATCTTTATTTTATACCATATATCATATTTTTATCTCAAAGATCTTTTAAAATCTCTCCAAACCCATCGATCACCAACCATGGCCAAGCCTAGCCGAATTTACGGCTCACATACCCAACCAACTACAGTTTATCATATTCATACATCAACTACCAACAATGATTTGCCTATCATCGGCACAAATAACCCGAACAATGATTAATCACATACACTACATATCAAATCTAACTTCAGTAAATAATTTATAATAGCATGGCACAATGAATGCACTGGATATCGCACATAAGACATAATTATAATGACTTACTTAATTCAGGCCCTTAATCAAATTGTTTATTCATTTCCGATGTACATAATTTAAATCATACCATACTTATAGGAAGCTAACCAACTCAACCACTACAGACCTATGGGACTTGATTGATTGGACTTCACCGTACCATCAAATACAATATGTTATATTATTCAAAAAGACAAAATTCTTTTTTGTTGTTTTTGGCAATAAACAGGCATCAGTCAAGTTGTCGGAACTGCTGTATGACACAAAATTGACAAAAAAGAAAAAAAATACCACAGACAGGTACCGTGGCAAATATGCCACCTTTGGGCAGGTCAAACCTGCTGATCATTTATTGGGACAAATCGACTTGTCCCATATAGAAGACATGCAGATAAGGCATTGGCATGCTACATTCGTCTTGTAAGGCATTTATTGCCTCGTCCTTGCTGCCACAAGACTGCACACACCCAACCTTGTCCATTTGTGTTTAGGTTTTGTGTTTTGTGTGAATGGATGTATTTTTGTGGATGATGATACACAAGAACTTTGAGTATGCTTTTCTCTCCATCAAATATAGTGTTGAGAGGTTTATACATGGAGGTTTGAAGAGACGAGAAGAATGATTCTTAGAGTCGAAGCCAAATGAAATAACCATCTTGTATGCAATCTTATCTTAACTTGACCGTTGATCTGTTGGAGTCGTTACAGAGTAATAACAATCAGTATATTAGAGTTTGTAAAACTAAATGGAGCTTGGGTAAAAGATAGGTCGGGTAGTTTTGTATGGTGTCTTGTATGGTGTAAACCAAAGGTTTGGTTTAGTTAAGACTCATGAATTGGAATTCTCCAAACGTAGGTTGGAAAACCGAACTTGGTAAACAAACTTTGTGTATTATTTCTTTGTTGCACTCATTCAACCATCAATTTGTGCACGAACACACAGTGCCGTTTCAACCGCGCAACAACCACGTTGTAAAGATGTGGCTACATCAAAACATTTTATAGTTCCGCGGTGCAAGTTACTCGGAGGCATTGGACCTCTTATTCGATCGGTCCCCCGATTTCCAACACAATCAATCATTCTACTCTAATTTGGCACAAAAAATATAAGACTAATGCCAAATCAAAATCAGCGTTTCTAAATTTTATTTCAAATACCAATAATTTAAAAAATCATTATTTAATATTTAAATCATTGTTTCGATTACAGTATTGCTTGGATCAAATTACCACCTGAAATAATAAATATTAATGTAATATATAACACATATTTAAATAACATATTAAATAATTATGTATAGCAAAATATATCTATATTTTAGTAAATACAATAATAATTTGATTCAATTTACAAATATTTATAAAGGAAGTAATAAATATTATATAGTAATATATAGCATATTAATTAACACAACCTATGCTATTGCCTTATGAAAATTTGCTAATTATTAAAATTAATGTGCTATTTTATTATTATTATTATTATTTTTAGTTAACGTGCTAATTTAGTAATATGTATTTGTAGTTTTGCTAATTAGTTCAAATTATTTTTCTAATTTAATCAAATTAGCATTTAACCGCTGCCTTAAATCATTATAATAATATTAATATAAGTGAGTTTAAGATTATTTATAATGTTTAATAAAATTCATAGTAAAAATAAAACTAATACTCCAACTCGAGGGAGTATAATTATTTGCTTTTTGTATGTTTATATTAATATTTTATATATAATATTATAATTAAAAAAAATAAAAAGATGATTTTATCCTTAAATCCATTAATTTTTTAAAGACATTGTTTGTAATATTGCATCTAAGGTAGAAATATTTTTTATTAAAATTTAAAAGTACTTTATTAAAAAAGAAACAATACATTGAAATTGGATGAAATTAACAAAATGATTATATTGAATTGACGAGAAAGTAATCTATATATGGATGACAAATGATAGAAACACATAAGTAAAATAATTGTCTCTCTAATGTTCTCTCTAATGATCTAAATAAGCATACAGTTCAGTAAACATACAAAACCTTAAAACAAGTCAAATGAATGAATCTAACCGCAATACTATACTACAATTCAAAACCAAAAACACTACCAAACTGCTCCCATCACCACATAGATGGATAGATAGATGGTAGACTCTCTCTCTCTCTCTCTCTCTCTCTCTCTCTCTCTCTCTCTTATTTCCTATACAAGTTTTACGCTCATCTTTCCATGTAGACATATTACACCCTAATGTATTTGCTGAATTCTTTTGTTTCACAAACAGACACAGACACAAATCTTCCTATTTTGTTTCCTACACAACATTATTACTAGAGAGGAAGTAAAGGAAAAAAAGATATGGAAAATGGGTGGGTGGGTGGGTGGTTAGGTATCAGAGAAGAAGACAAGTATCGGGATGGGACTTGACCTGCTGCTTCGCTTGCTGCTGCGACCAGTAAGCGTGCGCTGTCAGCACCCGGTCGAGGAGTTCCTGAGGCACCGGCTCCCCCCGCCTTTGCTGAGGAGATATTCTTGCCGTGTGGACTAGCGTTTTCCACTTATCCTGCAAGAACATCAGTTCCGGAGGATACATAATTATTGCTCGCTCTGTCTCAGTCACCGATGAGCCTTGGAATCATTTAAAATCTACCGTCGAATCTCAAACAGATCCTATTCAACCGATGAAGGCATTCGACTTGGCATATCGTGTAATCGGGAAGCATCTCTCTTACCTTCAAATCCACGTAAGTTCTGTGCTTTGCGCTGTCGAAAGCTCGCAGCTTGACGTCGCGCCATCTGTGGAGTTCATAGTAAATTAGTGGGACAAACTGTTATGATGGGAGTCCGGGGTTGCAACTTAAAACCAATTGATTATAAGTGGAGTAGCTCTTCACCCCTATAAAATAAGACAATTCCATCATATCCAATGTGAGACAACACTTCCTCCTCAAAATGATAATTTCAAAATTTCAAATAAGATCAATACCCAATAAGAGCACTCTGGCTCTGATACCATGTTAAGAAGGGATCTGGGCTTTCAACCTAAAACCAACTGATGATAAGTGGAGTGACCCTTCACCCTTACAAAGTAAGAGAGTTCCCACACATTTACCAATGTGAGACAATATTTAACACTTCCCACTCGAAATGATAATCTCGAAAATCCATACTGCATCAATAACCAATACGGGCACCATGGGTCTGATACCATGTTATGACTCAGACCCATGGTGCCCGTATTGGGTATTGATTCCTGTATGAATTTTCGAGATTATCATCTCGAATGATAAATGTTGACTATCTCACATTGAATATGATGTTGGGATTTCCCTACATACCTTATATAAGGGGTGAAGGACTACTCCACTTATAGCCAATTGGTTTAAATTGGAACCCTAGATCCGTGTCGTAACATGGTATCAAAGCCATGATGCCCGTATTGGGTTGATTCTGTATAGATTTTCGAGATTATCTCTCGAGGGAGAGTGTTGAATACTGTCCCACATAGATATAATGTGGGAATTTTTTGGCTTATAAGAATGAAGGATCACTCCATCTATTACCAATTGGTTTTAGATTGGAAGCTCGGATTCTTCTTAACACAAACAAGCAAGCAAGCATTCAAACAGCACGAAAGACAAGCATGGATGCATACCTTCCCGTTCCGAGCTTCTCAACAGCCTGGACTAGAGCTTCGACTTCAGCAACAGTGAAAGGTCGACGAATCCGGCGCTGTGCAGATTCAGACCGCTTGGATTTCCGCAAAGGAACTACAGCCAGCGGTTCTTGTTTCACTGCAGGTACGGGAACCAGTGCTTTCGATTCATGATCTGATTTGTGCAAAGGCAGGCAGAGAGTGGGAGGGGAAGGAGCCGAGTCATGATCGCTTTCAATAAAATTGTTCAAACTAGTCCCCGACAGATCGGGGGGAGGTGCATCGACATTCCCCTGCTGTCTACTACTGATACTGGGAGTTGGAGGGTACCTGGCAGAGGGTAACGTGTTCTGTTAGCCCTCGAACGAGATTGTTGGCATAACTAAGAGTGGCGCAATGAAAGTGCGGATTGAAGAGCACCTTGCGAGAGGCTGGGGGTTCTCACACAGGATCCGATCGTGATGGGCCTGAGGAAACAAGTGCATGGGGGCCGGTGGGGGACTCGGCTCGAGGGTGAACCCGAGGGCATCGATCTTGTTGTCATGACAAATTCCAGTTTGAAGTAATGTTTTCGCATCGTCCCTAATCTTCTTCCCCTGAAAGTGTACGCCAACACGGAGCCCCCCACCGAGCACTGAAGTTACTGCGTCAGCAACCGTTCGCTGCGCAAGATTAAAGCCGCCATATAAAGCGACGTATTGCTTAAACAATAGTGAATGAATATTATAGTTAGTAACAGTTGGAATACCTTCAGAGAACCGATGGTTGCAGTTTCCGGGACCTCAATCAACAACTCCGGCACCCGAAAAGTTTTTATTTTTAGCTTAACTGATCCAAAGAAAAGCAGGAAACAAAGACATAAGAACCTCCGCCAAATGTTAAATGATGTTTCGCCATGAGAGGGTTTGTAGTTTGTACCTTGAGCATTCCGGGTCTGTAACGATGCATAAACTCCAGGCGTAGGCGGAGCCGGGATTGCTGCATTTGCCTCACATGAATCAAAACTTCCTCGAGCATAAAACGGACACCAAATCAAGATTCAGATGAAAAGTTACCTCGTGGTCTCAATGGACCAGAGCTGAGTCTAGATTCATTGGCGACGCTTTCAGGGACCCGATAAATTCCATTTCCACCATTACTAGTGCCTTCATCAGAATTTGGAATCGAGTTATACTCGAATATCTTCCTCTTCTTGAAAGGATAATCCTTCATAGGCCTAGGCCGCTTGGAAGCGTCCTTCCTGTGAAGATTATCGCATGGCGCAGAATCTAACAAAATGATGCAAAAACCCGGTAAACATACGATTTAAATTGTGCCTCAATGGCGATGAATATAAATGCAACTCACCGACACTATAGCATTCGTCGCCCTTCTCCTCTGAAGCCACTTTGCAATGCTTGGAAGCAAGAAACTTCCTAAACTTATGATCTTCGACCTGCGAAGACGGCTTAGAAGCCTTAATAATACGAGCACTGGGTTCAGTGCACTCGGAAGAGTTTCCGTCATCATCCCTATTACCTAACATTACATTATTGTCCAAATTGACAGGGAAAGAGCCGCAAGGACCGTGGCTCTTGCTAACGGGAAACTTGAAATTATCGACTGAACTAACTAATGGAGACGGCTTTTTCTCCCAAACCTCCCGATGTCCTGAACTGGACAGCAACAGGGCCTTATTACCTACAGACAAATTCCTGGTATTATTTGGAGAATCCATTTTATTCTCATCCTCCAATTTACAGTTAATAGAAAACTGAAAATGAGGCGACTCGACATCTGTCACAGGCGGCGTGAAAATCCCGAGGCTGAGCTTGCAGTTATCATTGGCCATCTGTTCCTTCTGCGAGCAATCAGAAGTTGTTATTCCGGATACCGGCCTCGAGATGATGTCATTTTGAGGGCAGCAAGCATTTGGATCGGGAGCTTTGGACACAATCTCGGTGATCAAAAAATTCCTTTGGACACGATCCTGATCACTATGATCTTCCTCTGAAGCCTTGTTTGTGTCCTTGTCGATCACAGGATGATCCTTCACTGCTGGTGGTGGTGGTGGCGGCGGACAACCTCCGCCGTCCAACAACTTTCCAGCCACGGTCGCCAGTAAATCGAAGGCGCACATTTGCTGCTGGTCATCGAATTTTCTCTTGGATAAGGACCTCCTCTAAGACAACAATCGACAAAAGGAAATACAATGAAGCGATAAATAGATAAATAGATATGAAGATTATGGATTAGGTAGGTAATACCCACCCTGACAGATCGGGCGGCTCGGGGTGTGGGAGGCACCCGATAGCCGTTAAACCCATACTCTAACCTCTTCTGCAGTGCCATAGCTTCTTATAAACCATAACCAAGAAGATCTGTTCGCCATAAAACCTCAAATTATTTGGCATGTCAAGAAGCTATCAAATTATTACAGCAACAACACACCTACAACATCCAACATCAGAACCATCACCACACATAATTTTAAGGATCTTATATTGTAAAACCAAATGTTAGTTAAGAATGGCTTTCCTATAGAATTTTCATTTGATGTTAGAAAAATGTTTTATCTTTATTGTCGAAACACTGCAAATCCTTATTGCATAAATTATTTCTGTGCAGAGAATCCCTTTCGGAAATCACATTTACTCTTAATCAAATTAGTTCCAAGGCCTTCAACATACTATGGACATATAGCTTAACAACATGAACTTTAAATTCGTCTTCAAAATCCTTAATATCATCAAATAGGCAGTTTATTATTGCATCAATGCAATTCTTTATGTTTGAACTTGATCAGAGAGATTTGATTTTCAAATAGCATTCGTTTCGAATATTTCCACAGTCAGATAAAAAGTAGCCATGAAAATGAAACAGAAGCAGAAAAAAAATACAGAGACCTATTTCTTCTTCGTGAGCAAAAAGCAAATTCCGATCATTCCAACTTTCCCCAACAGTTCAACACGCCCGTGTCAAAAAACCACTCGCAGAATTCGATCATCACCACCTTCTCAGACCATCACGAATTCCCCCAAATTTAAAAGCCCTCGACGATCCCCACTAACGAAGATCAGAATTATGTCCAGCCCCTGTGAAAGAACGAATACTCAATCCTCCATCATCAACGGCCCGAATTCCAGAAATCATTGCAACGATAAGGAAAGATTTCAAAACCAAAACGCCGACAAAGAATCAGCCAGAATTCTCTTTATCCTTTCTGATCGAACAATTTCTTCCAACAGAGGGACAAAAACCCAGAGAAAACCAGCCTAAACCCCAAATTTTGCTATAACATTGACCCCTGTCACCGAACCTATAGGTAGATGGGCACCCACCACCGGCTATAAAAGGTCACGCCACAAAGAACACCTTGAAGACCGATTCTCGTGTGGGTTACCAGACGCTTCCTGATGCTGACACGTGGCGGGGAAGTGAAAATCCTGCGGTGGATCCTCGTTTAACCCCTCGAGAAAAACGTTGGGTCATCAAGCGAGGGAATTTTCTTTAAATTTTGTTTTTCTTGTGGTTTTTTAGATCAAATTCTTAAATATTTTGGATTTTATTGGTAGTTAATTAATTTTGGAGGGGTTTTAAATTATTACCATTGAAAAAGCGATTTACAAGGAGGCTTGTCGAAATGTCCCAACAAATTTGCAACTGATTTTAGGTTCAGTTATGCCTTACAAACTCTCACCAAACTCATGCCTAACCGAGGGCTCTATCTGTGGTTTAACTAAAACTTAGCAACATCAAACTCTAACTTATTTCTTTTATGGGAAATTTTTATCTTTTAAGTATTCAGAAAGCTGCTAAAAATGAACATGCAGGAAATATTGAATAACTCTAAAATAAAAAATAAAATAAAAAAATAAATAAAAATGGAATTGGGGCAGCCCACCCTATTAAAAAGCTCTATTGGGCCCGGACTAACAAAATTTGGGCCACGTTGGGCTTAGCCTATTTTTTTTCAAATTAGAAAATATTTTATGCTAAATTGCACAAAAATCTATATATGATTTCACGAAATTGTGCAAAATCTCTCATACTTCTAAAACTGCGTTAAACTCACTCGTGATTTCATAAACTTTGCGTCTAACCCCCTCGGCGGTCCTTATTTAACGGTATTTGACCTAAATGCACCCAAACTGCGAATAAATTTTAGAATCTTAATTTCTAAACCCCTAAAATTACAAAAATATTTATTTTTCTTATATTTAGCCTAAAAAAATAGTAAAAATAAATTTTTAAAACTTGAGAAAAATAACTATTTTTGGGTATATTTACTATTTTTTGAGACTAAATATAAGAAAAATAAATATATTTGTAATTTTAGAAGTTTAGAAATTGAAATTTTAAAATTTATTCTCAGGTCAAATACCGTTAAATAAGGACCGTCGAGGGGTTAGATGCAGAGTTTATGAAACCACGAGAGAGTTTGACGCAGTTTTAGAAGTATTAGGATTTTGGCGCAATTTCATGAAATCACAGTAGATTTTGTGCAATTTAGCCAATATTTTAAATATATTAATAATTATGCTTCAATATAATAAAAAGTTATTTTTTTAAATCTAAAAATTACTTTTTTATTTTGACTCATAATGTGATACGTATCATTGGTCATATGTGCTATATTTTATGTTGTCAAAGTGTCGATTTTGATGACTAATCGACATTTTATAGCTCATAAATAAACTTTTGTATTCAATGAAATAAAAGAAGAATCAATTCCAAACTCCTTTCAATATTTACTCTAAATAATTTTTCTATTTACATAAATTACTTGTGTAAATATTTTTAATAATATTAAAAATTAAATAGAAATTCAAATTATTTTTTTTTATAGTAAATTTTTATTGTAATTATTTAAAGGAAAAAAATCAATTTTGGTCTCAATATAAAAAACTCATCAATTTTAGTTTCATTATAAACAATTTCAATCAATTTTGATCCCATTATAAATAATTTTAATCAATTTTGATCTCACCGTTAAAAAACTAACGGAAATTGCTGACGTGGACGTAACGAGGTTGATGTTGCAGTTGACCTAGAAAGTACAAGGTCATGTACAATTATACACGATCATATTATCACACGGTCATGTATATTTCTGTATATAATAATTATACACGGTCATGTATAATTCTACCTGGCCGTGTACCTTTCTATTTTGGTCTAAAATTTTATTTTTTTGTATATTTTTTTCAAAAAAACATATATTAAATTTAGAATAATTGATATAGTTATAATAGAAAAAATCAATAGTAATCATAATATAATTAAAATGTATCAATTTTAGTTCAAATACAAAAATGAATCATATATGTTTTTTTAGATGTTTTTGTCTATAATTCTACTATTTATAAAAAAAATTCTCTTAAAAATATTCATTACACTACTATTTTTTATTTTTTATATATTATAGTATTCAAAATTAATTTTATATTTCAATACAATTATATATATCTTCGTTGAAATTGTTTGAAATTGTATGGAAATGTATAAAAAATAACATAATATAAAACAATAAAATTAGTTGTGTAATTGAATGTTTATAAGAGAAATTTTTTTGATAAATAGTATAATTATAAACAAAATATTTCAAAAGATCATATATTATAAATTTTACATTTTAATTATATTAGGATTACTATTGATTTTTTCCATTTTAAGGATATCAACTATTTTAAATTTAAAATATATTTTTAAAAAAATAAAATTCTAAACCAAAACAGAAAAGGACACGGCCGTGTAAAATTAAACATGGCCGTGTAAAATTAAACATAGTCGTGTATAATTGTACACTGAAATATACATAGTCGTATGACAACATGACCGTGTATAATTGTACATGGCCGTGTACGTTCTAGGTCAGCTGCCACGTTAACTCCTTTATGTCCACGTCAGCAATTTCCGTTAGTTTTTTAACTGTGAGATCAAAATTGATTGAAATTATTTATAATGGTACTAAAATTGATGAATTTTTATATTGAGACCAAAAGTGATTTTTTTCCTTTATTTAAAATATAAATTGAAAATTTTTATTTTTGGTTAAATTTTTTTCCAAATCTTTTACCATTCACCTACTTTTTCTCTTAATAATATCTCGACTCATATTTTTTATTTTTATATTATAAAATTAATTATACGTAGAACTTCAATATCTATTTATATTACTATATCATATTACTATTCAAAATTCAAACTAAAAATTCAAACTCTCAACCGAAGGCCGTTAGTGTTTATAAATTATGAAATATATTGTTTAAAAGAGTAACATTATTTTTATTTTTAAAAAAACTAACTCTGTCCAGCCTCACTTGAATTTGATTTTTCGTCTTTTGTTTGAGTCAGATTTTCGGATCATACTCATTTTTGTCCATTCTAATTAAATGTAGCTAAAAATAGGAATAGTTCGGTATGACATACCGAAAATGTCGAGTCATAACGTATGTCGTTTCAAAACTTTCGTTATGTAAAAAAATATACCGATATCATACAAAAAAATCAATATACTAAAAATTCGGTAACAAATATATATATAGTGTATTGTACTGATAATTCGGCATACCAAAATTATTGGTATATACTGTTTTAAAATATTAAAATTAAAAATAAATTTATAATTTATGAAAAATAAAAATAATAACTTTTGTATAAATATACTAAATTATCGATATATATATATATACAAATATATCGAATAGCAAAATATCAACATAATATATGATATTTTTATTGTATACCGAAATAATTTTGGTATTTTGATATATATTGATAATGTCAAACCATATATAATACCGTATCGAAAAAGTTCGATATAACATTTGTACTGAAATTTATAGTATGCCGAAAGTTTGATATTTTTGATATTTTTTTGGTATGATATGCATATTTAAAAAATCCAACATTTTCTACCTCTAATTAAAAATAAATTATTTGAAAAATATGAGTGAAAAATCTTAATGTGTTAACAAAAAACTTTCAATATGTTTCATAATTAATATTATAAAAATAATATAACTTCTCTTCCCCTGCCCCCAAGCCTACTCCCAACCTAAAGTTACTAAATGAAAAAGTCAGTGGTGTGCAATTATTTTTTAATTATGAATATTCATATTTTAAAAATCATGATTGTTTAGATATTATGTATTTGTAAAATTTACTAATATATCTATTTTTGTGATTTTTTTTAGAAGGAAAAAAATTATAAATGTTGAATGTCATTATTTAATGTTAAAGATAATTAATGTCTTATATATAATGCATCGATGTTCACCATCTTGAAAAAAGAAAAATAAAAACTAACCCGAATTTGAAAAATATTTATATTAATACTATATATGTGATAGTGCAAACTTGATTGAAGGTTCCGAAAGAACAATAATTTTTCTCCTTAAATGAATAAAAATTGATATTTCAAATGCACTATTTTCTAATAAATTTAACAAAATTGCTAAATCTTAATTATATTAATCGAAATAAATATCATATTGAAACATCAAATGAGCAAATAAATTTTTATTAATTATAAAATTTATTGATAGAAATAGATCTGCATTAAAAAAGTTGTCTTTATTATCTTTTGGCTTATATTCCATGAAGTTAAGTGCAATTGAAATATATCTCTTAGACCATAGGTTTACATATTTTTTTATCTGGCATGATCGATTTGGACATCCTAGTAGCATTATAATGAGACGAATTATCAAAAATACTCATGACAACTCATTCAAAAATCAAAAAATATTAAATGCAAATAAGTTGAAACATATTGTTTACTCACAATGGAAGTTAATAATTCGACCATTACTAACAAAAGAAGTAATTAAATCTCCTGCATTTTTAGAACGAATTCATGGTGATATATATAACTTGTACATCCACCATGTTGACCATTCAGATATTTTATGATATTTATCGATGCATCGAGACGAATTGCATATAAAAGAGGTTACAACTATTTGATAGACCGATGTTGATGAAACCTAAACTTCTTGTATCTTCTTGGGAATATGTAATTTATATGCATCAATACTAATTAGACTACATAGACCAACAACCTATTATTGCTATCCTCAATACAATTAGTGTATAATTAAAATTCAATAGTTTATATTTGTAACCTTTTGAGTGTGCAATTTATGTGCCAGTTGCACGGTACCAACGTAAAAAAATGTGTACCTAATGAAGATTGATGATATATGATGGGTACAAATCACCTTCTGTTATAAAATATCTCAAACTATTACTTGGTGATTTATTTAAGATTCAATTTGCTGATTGTCATTTTGACAAGTCATATTTTTCGATATCAGAGGGAAAAATTGATTGATTGAAAAAATAAATTACTTAAAATGCATCTTTCGCTTTTCTAGATCCTC